TCTTGTGACACGACGGCGGGAAAAAAATAAAATAAAAGTTGACAATTGGATATTATTTTTGTATTGTATTCGCGATGTGAAAAATTGAATGCAATAATTAATGAATGTTGAATAAAATATTAGAGAACTCTGAATAGAAAGTACAATATCAAATTATGTACTAATATTCCCGGTCTTAGAGCTGTTTCATATTTGGACCATTGTGAGTGTAGAATAGCAGTAAGTAAATAATACAAACAGAAGGATAATAGGCATAATAAATTCTGACAAATCTATTACAATTGAAAAAAAAATTAGTAATGTATTCGCGATATGAAATAATGTGAATGAGGTAATGAATTAATCATCATCATCATCATCTGCTTCTTCCTTATCCCATTTATTTGTGGTCGTCGTAATATGTTTTTCTCTTCCATTCATTCCTGTTCGCAGTCATCTCGTTATTTACTTCCTTTCTTACCATATCATCTTTCACACAGTCCATCCATCTCTTTTCGGCCTTCCTCTGCCCTTATAACCATCCACATTCATATGTAACATCTTTAATGGTAATGAATAAATGAATTATGGTAATGAATTAATCATCATCATCATCGCAGCCCGGAAGACGTCCACTGCTGGACATAGGCCTCCCCCAAAGATCTCCACGACGATCGGTCCTGCGCTGCTCGCATCCAATGCCTTCCCGCGATCTTGACCAGATCGTCGGTCCACCTTGCTGGAGGCCTTCCCATGAATTAATATTGAATAAAATTTTACAAAACTCTGATGAGAATGACGAGTATTAAATTTTATAATAAATCCGCTTTTAGAGCCTCATGAGAGAGCCATATTCGTTAAAATAACCAAACAGGTAATAAATAATACAAAAAGAAGGATAATAGGCATAAGAAACACAGACAATATTACAGATTCTGGGATATACTTTTTTTATATGCTTGGTATGGGAATCAAGCTGAAGGCCCATCTGAAGGTAAGTGGTAACCGCTTATAGTGTGTTACCCGTGATAAAATGCATGCCATCACCACGATTCCTTTCAGTCATTCAAAGGTTGACTGGAAGAAATCCTTCATTTGGAATAAGTCCGCAATTTTACAATTTATTTCTTAAGATCGTTGTATCCTTTTATTTCAAATGTATTTACAAACAAACATATTAGAAATAGAAATAGAAATAGAAATAGAAATAGAAATCCTCTCTCCTCCTCCTCTTTTTCTTCAATTTCTGCGCCCAATTCTGCGCTTCAATTTCTTCAGTTTCATACCTGGAAAATTTCTAATTCCTTACAGAATGTTATTACGAAAATTATTATATAAATACTGAAAAAATAAACAAGGTCCAGAGTATATTGCAAAATAACAATCTTTTCCTGCCATGCCAGCTTATATCTTACTAATATTTTAAACGCGAAAGCTTTTGAGTATGGATGGATGAACAAAGAAAAAATATTTATTATAATTTTAAATATAATATGGATGTTTGTTATTCTTTCACGCAAAAACTACTAAACAGATCTTGATGAAACTTTACAGTAATATAACTTATACATCAGAATAACACAGGCTGCAAATTTCAAGTGGCTATAACCGAGGGCACTGCTAGTGTTTATATAAAATATGACGATTGAAATAATAACTAATAGAATTAAGTAACGTATGTCTTCATTCACTTAACACTATTGTTTTTGCTATCCAATAGCAAAACCAATTTGGGAAAATCAATGTTTAGACAATTTCATTATTACACATGGATCTAGGAAAGTTAGTTTAGTATTAGTTTTATTAAAGTCCTCAGACAATTGGATGAAAATTGGTGTTACCCATCCCTGTTCTTTGTACTTTGGTTCCAATATATTTTAGCAAATTTATCTCTCATTTTAATAAAAATTATAGCAAACTATTTCTATAATTTTTACATATTCTTTCTACATTGTATTATGAATTCGAATTTTGATAATTACAGCCAAAATTTACACAAATTCCTTCTTATAAATATCTCTCTTGAGAGATGAGATTGGGAAGTGTTTCAGTATCCGGAACATTTATCACGATGTGCATTCGTGTTACGTGTAAGTTTTACTTTAATAAACGCTTTTTTTTGTAATGGAAATGGCAAATAATCTGACTGAATATACATAGAAAACACCCAGACTGATATAAACAATGATACTTATGGATATAAATGTTTGTATCGTCATAACGACTCACATTACGAAAAATATTGGTCAATATTTCTACATATATATGTACATATAAAAATGTAAATATTAATAATGTAAATATTAAAAAAATCGTACAATTTACAAGAAAATAAAACCCTTCACACTCCTGGTTTTGAAAGCAATGTAACCCAATAAAGGTACTCGAGTTTGCAGCATCTGTTCAATTTTCTACGCTTTACTAGATTTGTTTCGGGGCCGAGAAGTTAGGCCGCCGATATTGTTCCATGCGCTTTCATTATATTAAAAGGGGCAGAAAGAGGCTTGATAAACTTAGGACGACTATACTAATATTATTAGGACGAAAGGTTTTATTTTTAGTTTGGATAAACTCAAAAAATACTTGACAGATTATAATTTTGTTACACCTATAGATCCTTCTCGAACCGATACCCCATCTAATTCAAATGAGGATCGAAATTACAAAACCCTGAGCCGAGGTTCGAACCACTACAGGTTCCTTCAGACTAAAGTCGTATCTGTCAAGTAGGAGTTGGCCTTCAGTCGCTCCATAAGTAGTAGGTTTCAGTCCTAGAGTTTGGAGTGCCATCTGCACTCGCCCCCTATTATTCGATGAAGCAAGCTGCATTCATAGCATTACAATAGTTTAAAAAAAACTACAGATAGCTAAGTTATCTGAAGTTGAATTCTGCACAGGCAACGCCGCGCCGTGATTAATTCTAAATATTAGTCACACATATAAGCTCAAGGTAAGGTAATATCATATTCTGTAATTTTACTTGCGCTTATCCGTCTTTCATCTGTAACATCTTAATAATAATGTAATCGCGAAAGTTTTGTGAATATTATTAATAGTGTACATTTTTACTCATACTATAAATGAGGAATGAATGAATATATATTACATATACAGCCTTCTGTTTCAATATATAATATAACTTATCATTTTCAATGTATACATGCAAGAAAGATTCTTCATTGTTCGTCAAAGAAAGGTAATTACATATACTTACATAATACCACAGCTAAGATAATATATAATACATATATGTATATAGAGAACAAATAGATAGTGTTACGAGAGGCTTCTTACAAAGGGACAATAATTGGTGACCTTTTTGGTTAAAAGTGATCTATTCTAGTGAACCTTATGATGGAAATGCGGAATTAATCGTACAGAAACTGCCGGACACTATTACGGATAAAAGAAAATAAAAGATATCTGATGGCTTCGGTGACCTAGCGGTGTTAAATCGATTTTTTTCTGATGTTGACGAGATCGATTTCTCGCATGGTGCAAACAGTTTTATTCATGAGTATGATTGTTTGTATTGGTCTGGGTGTTTTCTATGTATAATATGTAGGTATTTACGAAAAAAATACTTGTATCAGTTATCTAGTACACATCACAAGCTTTAGCTATGTTAAGATATATTCTCACTCCCGAATACTCGCGCACTAACAATTACATATGTAATTATTAGATATTATTATCTTTTGTCATATATTATATCGACGACCTCGGTGGTCTAGCGGTCAAGCACATCGCTTTACATCCGATGGTCGCGGGTTCGATTCCTCGCACGGCACAAATATTTGTATTCATGAGTATGTTTGTTTGTGTCGGTCTGGGTGTTTTGTATTATATGTATGTATTTACAAAAAAAATCTATGTATTTGTATCAGTTGTCTAGTACCCATAACACAAGCTTTAGCTAGCTTAACTTGCGTCTAGATGGCGCTGTGTGAATTGTCCTGAGATTATTGTTATTATTAGTATCTGTTCGTACTCATGAATTGAATTATATGTCTGGGTGTTTTACACCTGTTATAACACAAGATCTGCTTAGCTTAGGACTAGATGGCACTGTGTGGATTGTCCAGGATTATTATTATTATCCATATAATACAATATTCTAATTATTTAGCAAAAAAAAAACACTAGGGAGAGGATATTTTTAACGATAAATTGACAACATCTTTGTAAATGCCGGTGCTCGATGTACACATAAAATGTGCCTACAAAATTATTTGCCTGTACTTGAATCGAGTAACTGAATTTGAAATCATTCAACCCCTTTTAATTTGTGAAAGATACTTTTAAAACTTGTACCTACTTATAGCGCCCCAGAACTTAAAAGTTTCAGGACTACGATGAACTTTATTTCTCCGCGAATTTAGCTTTTGTATTTCTTTTTCGATGGGAATTAGGTGTATGATATCAGGGGTAATGAAGTATTAAGTTTACTTAAGGACCAGTCTAATATTATTTTCTTTCAAATTAAATGAAATCAAATCTAAAATAATTTATTCATTAGGACATTTTAGCCGCTTATAAACGTGAATTTTTTTGTATATTTTTTTTCTACCGTCCACTTTACAATACTGATTCAAATGAGAAGAACTGGCAAAAATATTTACTTTAAGTTAATAAATTATAAATAAACATACAATAATATTTACAAACATTATCATTTTGACAATTTTTGTAAAAGAATTAATGCAACATAACAAACTAATTTTGCTAAATAAATGTAAATTATTTATATAGACCTCAATTATTTTTATTAATACAGCAATACAATGATTTGCAAGCAAGCTACTATAAGACAAAAAAATGGTTTTATCATAGTAATATTCAGATTCTCTAACAAGTTAATACTATATTAAACGAAAAATAGTTTTTATCGCATGAAAATATCAATATACCAAATAGAATTCACTGTCATCAGTAATACCACTACTACACTAGCTCTGGTCTAATTACAGTTAGCATTTTTAATAAAGTAGATATTAAAAAATTTCTTTCTCCTTCTAAATCTATTTGCCCCAATATTTCATTTGAGCGTTTCGTTGAAGTTTTGAATTATCACAAGGTACACTCTTGTTCATCCAAAGTCCATATTGTCTCGGACATTCCTCGATGAGACTGCAAGATGATTTTTCTTCACACCATCCGCATTGGAAATCCTTATTCAGTCTAAGACATTGCTCGCAATTTAGTGCTAATGTTTGACAATTGTACACAATTAATAATATTACATTTGAATGTGGTTCTGCACCACCCCATATCAATTTCAACGAACCAAGTGACACATTTCTACTAGTTTTTAAGATCATTACATCACAGTAAACCGTATTTTCGTCAAAAGTTGCAGTCACTTGTATTATCTTGTAATCTATACGGATTTCACAGATAATATTCCTCTGGTACAGTGTGAGATCATCAATTTTTAGCTCCAGGTTGATAAATCTCCGCACATTGGCCGGAACGAAAATAGGATGGCTATTAACTATTTCAGTGCAGTATCTTTCATTCGATTTTCTTCGCCATAAGTTTTCAAGGAATAGTCTCTTTGGACAATATAAACGTGGGAAACTAGTGCATCCAGTATCGTGACACCATTCGCATTGGTATGCTTTCTTGCAACTGTGGCAAGTCTTGATAGAACTGCAAATATTTTCTATGTTGCTTTTTCCTGATATTCGTGAATCCAATAGTTGTTCTGAGCATTTAATTAGGCATAACACTACAAAACTTATCAGAGTTATAACAAAACGTAAGCGAGTTTGCTCATTATTCTGTGATGGTGGTCTCATGTTAATGATTAAGTTAAGATACTCTAAGATCCGATGCAACGATTAGAACTGACTTTATCTAGGCTCCAAGTGCGACTGAAGATATATGCATTTGGTGAAAATATTTTCAAACATATGTTTGTAAATATAACTATTCAATTAGTAAGAATACAATTACTGTATATAAATAACAACATGAAGTCATAACTTCCTAAAAAATCAATTGCATCAACACATTGCTGCACAGTGACGTTGTCTAATTTATAGTTATAAACAGATTCAATGTCTGCATTAATACTTACGATGATATTTATTTTAATAACGTATTTCTATTCAGTAATTAATAGTATAAGTTTTCAAGGGTATATTAGGGTTTATTAAGGGTCGCTAACATGCACGTGATACCCCTGCTGCATTTATAGGCTACGATAACTGTTTACCATCAGATGGGCCACATGCTATTAGGCACATTGATTTTAGAAGAAATAGTGTAATCCATCACATTTAAAATAAGTAATCATGTTGCTAAGTAACAGTTTATATGTAACGTGCAACTGATCGGAACGAGAATAAATTATATTTACTGCTGTATATGTGTAATCCACTGAATATCTCCATCAATAGGTCCAACTATAATTACATAGCCATTATTATTTTAACTGATTTAATTTTGGGTATGTTATTTGCTACTATTGTTCTATTGTTTCCTCTTCTGCATATTGTTTTATATTATGTATGTCAAATGTAGAGATGTAGAGTGTCTTAAATGTAATGGATTAAGGGACCGTATTAGGCACATTGATTTTAGAAGAAAAAGTGTAATCCGTCACATTAAAAATAAGTAATCATGTTGCTAAGTAACAGTTGATATGTAACGTGCAACTGATCGGAACGAGAATAAATTATATTTACTGCTGTATATAATATATAATATAAATTTAATATAATATAATTTAATATACTTTTTTTACTACAATGCGTGTGATGGAGATATTCAGTGGATTACACATACATACATAACTATCGCATATATACATTAGTATCGCATGGAAAATTAATACAATTTATTTTTCCATAGAATACTTAAATTAAGCTGTTTAGTATCTACTTAAAGTAATGTTCGTGATATTTATCATAAATACACAGTGGCCTACGTAACTACGTAACGAACCGTGAAGAAATCTTTCTAGAAGGCAGTCAGATTCTAATATCAAAGTCAAAGTTAATGATTCACGTTTGTATATTGGGATAGGTATAGTTTTGAGTAAGGTGATACCCCAAATAACTTGACCTACATCAGAATTGTGTCAATTTTGTGTTCCATACCACAGAATACCTATTTGTAGTTTATGATCCAGACTTTTAAATGAACCAACCAGTTCATTGTATTAGTTATAACTTCCACATCATTTACTACAGAATCAGAGACGAAGAACTTATAAACTGTGTTTTGTTTAAAGTGATTAACACATATTTTATTTTACGAAACGTAAATAATACATTAACTTTCTTATTTATTTAAATCTTTAATTAATTAAAATAAAAATATGAATAAGTTTAAGATTTATTATGTTTATCATTTCTCGTTTCTTTAAGTGTTTCTTTACCATATTATACATTTATGCATTAACAGTAACCTAAATATATAACTCAAACGTGACTGACATAGTGATCTATCAACGCACAGCCCAAACCACTGGACGAATCGGGCTGAAACTTGCCATGCAGGTAGATGTTATGACGTAGGCATCCGCTAAGAAAGGATGTTGATAAATTCCACCCTTAAGAGGATAAATTAACGCGAGCGAAGCCGCGGGCAAAAGCTAGTATAATATATTTATCTAAATACTTCAAACCATGATGAACTTCAAACCTTCAATGGGGGAGCTGTTGTTTCTTCTATAGCACCTTGTGCGGTTGTTTCTGTTACTTCCGTTTCGTTACCAGATTGAGTTGCATTATTATTAGCACCAGTTGTATTATCATTAACTGATAATGTTGTATCAGTAACAGTAACAGTTGGTGTTACAACAGCTGTAGTAATCTTATTTTCACATCCTACATATATGTTCACAGATATGGGATAGTTGTATGACGATGTTACACGTAAAACTACGTAATTCTTCCGAAGACCACCTCTGATGATTTCGACTTTTGGACCGCGACCAACTCCTAAACGGTCGGCAACTCTGAGATATGTTATCTGTAAAGAAATATCTATTTTATACGAGATGGAGATGTAAATAGATAGATAGATAAATAGTTTATTTGTACGTTACCAATTACATTATCAGCCTAAAGCAGTTCAATGCCGGACATGGGCCTCTCTCAAGGCATACCACTAGGCACGATCTTCAGATTTTCTCGTCCAGTTATTATCCGAAACCTATGCATCTCACAGGATAACTCACACAGCGCCATCTAGTCTCAATCTAAGTAGAGCTAGTCTTATGGGCACTAAACAATTGACATAAATACTTAAATTCATTTTTTTTAATACATACATAATATGTATAGAAACCACTCAGACTGATACAAACACTTATATACATAAACATAAATTATTCCACAGTGCGAGGAATCTAACCTGCGACAATCGGAAGTAAAGGGTTATGCTAAACTGCTAAACCACTTAGGCCCTAATGTTTATGTCATTATATGTGATTGATATACTGTTAATGGTAGAAAGCTCTTTATGTCTGTCAGTTATGGTTATATAGATAAAGTCGCAGGCAAAAGCTAAAGTAGATACGCGAAAGATGTAGTCATACCTAATTCACATGTCCATTTTATTTGTCTGTTGCCAAGTGGCAAATGGAGCCTTTATTTCGTTATATCTGTCTGCCGTCTAGCTCAAAGTCTACAACAAATCGTATACCGTAGCTATATTTTTGCAGCAACTATGGAAATACAGGGGAATATAGCAATATACTCGTTTACACTAGTTGAACTCTAAAAATGTATATTCTAACATTAATAGATTGCAGCGTGTTAAACATGCAAATTCTTAATTTCTTTAATTTTATTATTGTTTTATTTTGCATTATGTTGTATATGTACTTAAGAAGAAAACAAATGATTTAGTCATCACTGTAAATCATCGATGACAAAGTTATTTGTCTACTTTGTAAATTTTAATGACTAATCTAGAATATGACTTACTGGATCTCAGCATTTTAGTTTTATTTCGTATTTTCGATTTCCCAATTTTTTTATTTTGTAACAACATACGAAAATTTGTGGAGGTAGACGAATATGTTTACCCGTAGTCTACCATGCCTGGCTTCAAAAACTTGCTGACAAGAGACGGAAGCGCCATCTAGGCGGCGCAGTACCGACTACTGCCAGTAATTTCTCTTGTCGAGCCTGTGGTAGGCCATGCCGCTCTCGTATTGGTTTATACGGCCACGAAAAGAGCTGTTCACGGACCATCATGCCATTAATCGTCTATAATAGACGCATAGGCTATTATTTATATATAATCTACCATCTACCCACTGCTCCTCTTTTTACCCACGATCAAAGCCCAAATATCGGGAACTCAATAATAATAATAATGAACCCCGGCCGACTGTGCTTCTGCCGGGGGTATGTTGCCATCTTCTCTCCTTAAGAGGGGAGATAAGAATTTTTGGAAAAAAAAAAATAATAATAATCTCAGGACGATTCACAGAGAGCCATCTAGACCCAAGTTAAGCTAGCTAGAGCTTGTATTATGGGTACTAGATAACTGATACATATACATAGATATTTTTTTTTGTAAATACATACATATTATACATAGAAAACACCCAGACTGATACAAACAATCATACTCATGAATACAAATGTTTGTGCCGTGCGAGGAATCGAACCCGCGACCATCGGTCGTAAAGCGGTGTGCTTGACCGCTAGACCACCGAGGTCGTCTAATAGCACGTAACATAAGAATAAAAGTAAGTTCCGTTAGTTATATATATAGAAGATAGTGTAACTTACTGGACATTTAAAAACCCTTCCGTATTTTGAATAAGTCATTCTAAAAGGCACTTTTTCTTTATACAGCCTATCTTGAGCTACCAAAAAATCTCTCCTCTTAAACATACCAATATAAAAGTCTCTACAAATAACAAAATAAAATAAACTTATAATAAAAAACTGTACTATGTTAATATGCATTGCGTCGAAATTTAATAAGTTCTACGTGTAACTTGATTACAGTTTGCAAAACAATTATTAAACATGTACTTAGTTATAAGTATTTGCGTAACATAAAATTACACTGTTAATTTTTATTACTCTGCCTGTAATTTAACTGGTATCAGTTAATGAAAATTCTATATTGGTTAGCCGAAATGCTATGTAAAAAAGTAAATTTAACTGGCTAGAGGTAAAGTGTGTTATATTATAATAGGTATAGATAAAGATATATAGAGTTGTATAGTAGATATTAGGTATAGATAATCTTAATCATTACATAGTATAAAACAAAGTCGCTGTCGCTGTCTGTCCGTCCCTATGTATGCTTAAATCTTTAAAACTACGCAACGGACTTTGAAGCGGATTTTTTTAATAGATAGAGTGATTCAAGCGGAAGGTTTATATGTATAATACATGTACACCCGGGCGAAGCCGGGGCGAGTAGCTAGTAATATTATAAATGCGAAAGTTTGTGAGTATGGATGGATATTTGTTACTCTTTCACGCAAAATTCTGAACGGTTTTTGATGAAACTTTACAGTAATATAGCTTATATATCAAAATAACATATAGGCTATAAATTTCATCAAACCGCGGTCACAGATAGTAAGTATATGTATAGAGTTGTATAGTAGATATATTTTTAAACAACTATTAATGGAATGTTGCCATGGTCCTGAATGCTGATTAACAAAAAAATGTTTAATTATAAATAGAAGTAATGCTATTGATATCGACCGAGTCAGTTTCGTAACTTTTATTAAAATAGTAAGGGTACAAAACTGATCTGTAAACGATTTTTAGAGCTAATAATTCATTCTTGTTTTAGCCACTGTACTGTT